CTGAGGCTGGGGGCAGGAACCGGGCAGTGGTGGGGGGTCCTGGCACAGCGGGGGCGTCTGAGCTCACCTGGGAGCTTAGGAAGAAGGAGAGAGGAGGAAGCCAGAGAGCCCAGCACAGGCAACACCTAGAGGCCCATGGGAGGAATGGGAGGGAGTGGGAGGATGAGGGGTGGGGGGGTGAGGGTTATTGGGGTCAATTGAAGACTTACTCCCTAAGGCAGGGACGAAGGACCACGTTTCCTGTTACATGACTGATACGTGACGTAGCGTTCATTGGCCTCCTGCCCTTTTCACAGTCAGCACACTGCGGCTCCGGGAAATGACTCGGCCAAGACCATGTCGGTAACTGGGCCACTGGAATCTGAACCGAGGTCATCCGTCACAAAAGCCCGGGCTGCGGCCTCCCTCAACAGAGCTGGAGTTCCGAGAGGCCTTGGGCTCCTTTGCCCCAGCCGCTCACACCCCGTCTTCTGGGTGAAGACGCGAGGTCCCCCGAGGGCCAGGCCTGGCTCCACGACCTTTTCTCCTAAGGCAACCCTGACCCCTCCCGGTGTCCCCAGGCCAGGAGCTGGGTAATCACAGAGATTTCTCTCCCCCTCTTGCATGCGACCTCCCGCCCTCCCCGCTCAGTGGGGCTGGGGCTGGGCCTGGGGATCCGGGCAGTTCTGGTCTGCTGTGTGCCCACAGGCCCCTTGGGTCCCTGAACATTTCCCTCCAGCCTCTCTCAGCCCCATAGCCATTGGCTTCCTCCTTTCCCCTCAGTTAGGGCACACATCCCCCCAGCTCGGGTGCACCCCAGGCTCCCCCTCTCTGGGAAGAGTGAAAACATGTGGTTTCCTGGGCAACCGTGTCCCTCCTCCCAGCTCGCCCCCAGACCTCCCAGAGTCTCTCCACTGTTCAGAAGAATATTTCAAATACTGGCCTCCCTGGGCTGGGCCTGACAAAGGCTGAGTCCCCCTCAGACCCCTCTCTCTGAGGGGCGATGCTCTGCTCCCCTCGAACCCGGAGGCCTGGGGTCTCAGGGGCAAGTTCCAGGCCACTGCCTTGGTAACCGCACAGGCCCACCCTGCTCACCAGCTCACCAGAGGGGCTCGCTGCTGTTTGGCCTTAGAGATCTGATTAGAGGGGGAGGCTAGAGCCCAGAGAGGGAAGGGACTTGCTCCAGGCACACAGCAAAACTGTGTTTGCCTTAGGTGACCCAGGAAGTGAATGGCAGGGACAAGTTTCAGGAAGCCAGATGTGCCTCCCAACCAAGGCTGGGTGGGAGTTGGGGAATTACGGGGCTCTGTGAATTCCCTCCTGACTATTATTTTTGCATTTTCCCACTAGGAGCTCTAGACTGAAGTACCTTTAAAAAAAGTATTTATTTTTATTTACTCATTTATTTATTTATTTTTAATTTTGACCAGAGAGAAAGAGAAAGTGAGAAAGCAAGTCACCAGGTCTGGGACTCGAACCATGGCCGGCCATGTGGGAGTGTCAGCACCTTACCCACCACACCATCTGCTGGTCTAAAGTTCTTTGGGAGTTAGACTTCAGGCGAGTTCTTCTCTCCGGTCTTCCTCAGCCTTGGATCATCCCCTGATCAATATTTCCTGCCCTAAGACATCTTGCTTAGATGGGGAAGGTGGAGAAGCGTCACTGTGCAACCTGGGCCATGTCTCTGGCCCTCAGTTTCCCCACAGGTAATGTGAGTGGGGTCCGGAAAAAAGACTGCAAAGACCATCTTAGTTCGTTCTTGGATTCTCACACCAAGTATACGAGCGAACGTGGGTGGTTTTTTTTTTTTTCAGATTTATTTAATTTTTATTTATTCATTCATTTATTTTAATTTGATGAGAGAGAGAAAGAGAAAGTGAGAAAGCAAGCCACCAGGGTCCAGGACTCGAACTGTGTCGGCCATGTGGGAGTGTCCAGCGCCTTAGCCACCATGCTACCCACTGGTCCTGCGTGAATGTGTTTGTGTGTGCAACTGTAGGTGATTAGGTAGATCTGTGGCCATGTGAGTGGCTGCGTGTGATTGTATGGGGTCAGGGTGAGTGTGATGGCATGTGTGAGGGGTACGTATGTGATTAGGTGTGTGTGACTGTGTATGCGGTGTGTCTATGCGTGTATGAGGAGAGGTGGCAGGGAATGTCTAAGTGTGCGTGTTGCGGTGAGTGTGCCTGTACATGTATGTAGATGATCGTGCTTTGCGGGTCTGTGTGCGGTTCAGGCTGTCCGAGTACGTTGTGTGTGATTATATGATTACATGTGGACATGTGGGTGACTGCATGTATGTGATTGTATGTGATTTCGAGTGTGTGTGTGTGTGTGAGATTGTCCGTGTTGGAGGGCAATGCGGCGTCTTCTCAGTCTCTTCCTCTCGGACCTGGGTGGGAGTGGCCGGGGAGGGGCGCCGGGGTGCCGAGGGGCAGCAGAGTCTTCCTGTCGGTAAGCAGCTCCAGATGCCGCCGTGTCGCCGCTCGGACAGGGAGCCTGGGAGGATGCTGCAAACGTGACCAGGCCCCAGCCAGATCTCTTCGGGGGAAAGAATTAAAGGGGGTGGAAAAAGCAGCCCAGAGGCAGATCTTTATGGAAACGTTTCGTGACACGCACACTAACTAATTGATTTCCTTATTAGTAGCAGATTTTTCTCCCGGCCTCTTCTCCTGCTTGAACTTATAAAATGAAACGGGTGGACACCCTGGCCAAGTCCCGCCCTCTCCACCCTCTTTAGGCAGGATGACGGTATGCATTTTGCATTTTCAGCTCCAACCTAGGTACAGGGGCTATGGCCACCCCCAGGATCAGGTTCAGAAGCGGGGGCAGCCGGGCACCCCTTCGTTTCTTCTCTCTGGCCGTCAGTGAGTCCTCTTGCTTCCCGGGCTTTCCTTCGGGCCAGAACGCCAGGCGCGTGGGCAGGAGCGCCACCCCTGGGGCCTCTTGGGAGCTCCGGGGAGGGTGCGGAGAGTAACTGAGATCAGGTGTGTGACTGGAGCCCACCTAGCTGTGGCTGTCCCTGCTATGAGGTGGGCCTCTCCTGTGGGGCACGTGCCCCAGGGCAAACAGCAGGCCTGGGAGTCCCGAAGGAGCCCTGACCAGAGCAGGGGATGGGGCGGCAGCCAGGTTCAGGTGAGGTAGTGAGGTCCGTCTCCCACCGCGAAGCCAGAGCTACCCCTCTGCCCGGCCTGGGGCACAGAGTGGAAAGGGAGGGGACCGCTCTCCCCAAATGTTTCCAACTGATGCTTTAGGCAGCCATAGTATTCCCGTTTGTCAGAGGGGAGACTGAGGTCCAGGGAGGTACACAAACTCACCCAGGAACACCTAGCTCTGAGGGGAGAGTTGGGGACTTGAACCTGTAGAATTCCCCTTATTCATTTGACGAAGAGGTACAGCCTGCTGCGTGGAGGAAGAGATGGAAAAGACAGCCCGAGTCTCTCCATTGGGAAGGTCTCAGGGACAGGTGTTGGGATCATGGTGTGACAAGTGTTGTGACGCGGTAAGCACGGGCCCTGCAAAGCACCCCTGATACTGTCTGGTGGAGTCAGGGAGGGCTTCCTGGAAGGGGCAGCACCCAAATAGGCAGAAGGGGCTGAACCTGCAGGGCAGGCCTTCAGCTGGCTTGCAGAGGCACGACCATGACAGCGGCTCTGCACACGTACTGATCCATTTGTCTACCTTTTGTAAAGATCTGGGGCAGGTGTTCCTGTCCATTCCACCTCCAGTGCCCTGGCTGCTGGCCCTTCCCCAGACCCCTGTCCTTCCACATCTAGAAACCATGGAGGCGCACATGGGGTGGGGGTGGTGTCTGTCATAATGGTGGGTGAACGCTGCGACCAGCAGGAGCCCAAGGCTGGGCTGGCGTCCCTTGCTCTGATTTCGGTACCGCCCTCTGCCTGGGGTGGGGGCTGGGGGCAGAGGCTGGAAGCTGGAGTCCTGGCTGGGCAGCAGAGCCTGCCGCGGGACACGTCCCTTTCCATCCCACGTGCACTTCCTGGGAATGACCAGGGCCTCTGTGCAGTTCCTGTTCCCAGCGGCTCACCGTCGCCAGGCCCAGGGAGACTAAACGTCCCTGAATGCAGAGGGGCAGGCAACAATATGGGGCGGGCAGGCGAGGGCCACAGGAAGCGCGGCAGGGACAGCGGGGGTTGGGGGTGACTCAGGGACTTGTGACTTGATAAGGTAAGAAGGAAAACAGCCGGAGTCCGGGGGCGCCGACGCGGCCAGCGGGACGGGATGTCCGTCCAGGCATTAGTCCTGCGTCCTCACGTCTCCCTGCAGCACAGGCCTGAACCCCATCCAGCCGAGCACCTATCGCCATTCCGTCAGGCAGGTATTGTGTCCTGGCGTCACAGAAGAGGAAACTGAAGCTGAGTGAGGTCACACAGCAACGTGCGGGGAGCCAGTGCGGGTCCAACTTCCCACCTCACCCCGCTGCCACAGATAACCAGGCACGCCTGAATAGGGCTCTTTGGGGTCTTTGCCTCTCTGCCTACAAAGTCACAAGGAGCCCACATTCCTTCCCCAAAAGGACCTCCAACCAATAGGGTCATTTTGCTATTAGAGCTTAAGGAAATGTTTGAAACTGGAGAAATGAATACACCGTGGCTCCCAAATCTAACCAGAAAACTGCATCTAAAATAAATGACCACAGTAACAATGCAGTCTGCTGTGGGCTCTGTGGCTTCTACGTGCCTGATGTGGGGTGGGATGTCCCAAGTAAGCGTGCGATGAGGAGAGGCTTAGATCCGCCTGCCAGCGTGGCTCCCAGTCGGGGTGCCTGAGAGCAGTGGTGGCTGCTCCCAGTCGGGGTGCCTGTGAGCAGTGGTGGCTGCCTCACTGTTACCTGGGCAACCTCGGCCAGTCATTTAGCTCTGCAGAGCCTCAGTTTATGAGTTAGACGGGACCGACGTCTAACACAGCGTGTGCAGAGAGCCGGACTGGGGGCTGGGGCTGGGGTCCAGACTGCTATTGTTTCAGCCTCTCCCGCTGCCCTGCCCGATGGGAAGTCCTCTGGGCTGGAAACTTGTTAGGAGGAAAGAATGTGGGAGAGAGAAGACGGCTGCAGATAAGGTGGAGCCGGCCTCTCACAGGGGAGGGTGACTGCAGACTTCAGAAGGCTCCCTGCCTTCAGCTCCATCCCTGCCCTCGCCCAGCGCCCAGCGTGCCTAAACTCTGCCCTCCTAGTGTCCCCCTTCCAGCCTCAGCTCACCAGGTTCCGCGGCCCCCCCACCCTCCCCTTGAGGGCGCCAGAAGCAGGTCCAGGTCACATCTATTTCTGTCTCTTTCCTTTTTAAAAAAGAGTTCTGTGGAGGTGTGGTGCATGTGCAATAAGCGGCATGTACTTAGAGTACGACGTGACAAGTGTCGACATGCTTGCTCGCCTGAGACTCAGCGTGAGCAAGGAAATGGCCCGTCCCTGCCAACGCATTCCCTCTGCCACTTTGTAACACCCCCCACAATCTCACCTCCACTCCCACCCAGATCCAGTCACCCCTCTGCTTTATATCACTATAGATCAGTTCCCGTTTCTGAGAGTTTCATGTCAGTTTCACAGCATGTGCCCATGTGTGTATGTGTCCTTTCATCCAGCACAGTTATTATGGGATTCGTTCCTCTTGATGATATATCAATAGTTCATTCATTTTTTTTTTTTTTTACGTTTTTTGCCAAAGGGTGTGTGTGCTCACTGGAGAGAGACAGGGAGAGGAAAAGTGAGAAGTCACCCCCCAAGGGGGAAGGCCACGTCACAGTCCCTTCTCCTCCATTCTCCTCCTTGGATTTTGCGTATGCACACACCTACACCCAGTGTGATTTTCAAGCCACCAGGTCGAGGACTTGAACCGCGATTTGCCATGTGGGAGTCCAATGCCTTAACCACTGCTGGCCCCAGTTCATTTCATTTTGTTGCCAGGTAGTATTTCATTATATGGCTATCTCATAGTGTTCATCCATTCAGCCTTTGATGGGCATTTGGAACATTTCCAGTTTTTTACTTCTGTTGTAACGTTCATATATAAATCTTTTTTTTTTTTTTTTTTGAGAGAGAGATTTTTATTTTGCTAAAGGGTATATTTGCTTGCCAGAGAGACAGAAAGTGAGAAATTACCCCCCCACACACACCAGGGAGGATGGCCATGCTGCAATGCCTTCTCCCTCATTCTCCTTCCAGGATCTTGGGCATGCATGCACATGTGCCGGGTGTGAGTTTGAAGCCACTGGGTCTGGAACTCGAACCGTAGTCAGCCACGTGGGAGTCCAGCAATGTAACTGCTATGCCACCTGCTACCCCATGCCATGTACAAAGTTTTATGTGAACACAAGCTTCTATTTCTCTTGGGATTCATATCTAGGGGTAGATCTAGATGTAGTTTAACTTTTTTTTTTCCCCCAGTTTGCCAGAGGGCATGTGTGCTTGCTGAAGAGAGACAGAGACAGGAGAAAAGTAAGAAAGCACCTCTCTGGGGAGTGGTCACACCACAATCCCTTCTCCATTTCTCCTTCCTTTCAGCATTTTGGGCATGCACATGCAGAGGAGCCAGTCCAACTTGAGAACTTCCCCAGCCAACCCTGACTATCCCTGATAGCCAGGCCCACCTGTATTTACCTCTGAGTGGGTCTTCACCTCTTAGCCTATAAAGTCATAAGGTGTCCCCATCCATCCTCTCAAAAGACCCCCCCAACAAATAAGGCTCTGCTTTTCAAGCTGTGGAGTCTAGGACTTGAACCACACTGTCAGTCATGTAGGACTCAGCTCATGTAATTGCCAACCTATGGGCCAGCCCTAGTTTAATTTTTTCTTTTCTTTTTTTTTAAAGAAATATTTATTTACTTTTATTCATTCATTCATTTTATTCTAATTTGACCAGAGAGATACACAGAGAAAGAGAGAGGGAAAGTGAGAAAGCAAGCCACTGGGTCCAGGATTCGAACCATGGTCAGCCATATGGAAGTGTCCAGCACCTTAACCACCACACCACCTGCCGGTCCCAATTTTTTCTTTTTTTTTTTAAAGAGAGATTTTTGCTTTAAGGACACATGCACTTGCTGGGGGAAGAGAGAGAGAGAGAAAGACAGAAAGCAAGGAATCACCCCCCAAGGGAGATGGCCACACTGCAATCCCTTCTCTTTTATTCTCCTCCTAGGATTTGGGACATGCATGTACACACACCTGGCATGAATTTTAAGCCTCCAGGCCTGGGACTCGAACCACAATCAACTATGTGGGAGTTCAGTGACATAACCATGATGCTATCTGTTTGTCCCTAGTTTAACTTTTTTTTTTTGGAGAGGTTTTCGCTATAGGGTGCGTGCGCTCGCCAGACAGAGAGAGACAGAGAGACAGAAAGCGAGAAATCACCCCCAGAGGGGATGGTCACGTCGCAATCCCTTCTCCTCCATTCTCCTCTCGGGATCTTGGGCACGCACGCACACACACCCGGCGTGAGTTTTAAGCCACTGGGTCTGGGACTCGAACTGCGGTCAACTATATGGGAGTCCAGCGACATAGCCGTTATGCTAACTGCTGGTCCCAACTATTTATTTATTTATTTATTTATTTATTTTAATTTGACCAGAGAGGGACAAAGTGAGAGAGAGAAAGAAGAGAGAGGGAAAATGAGAAAGCAAGTTGTCAGGTCCAGGGCTCAAAAGACGGCTCAAAAGGCGGGAGTCCAATGCCCTTAAGCACTACGCCACCTGCTGACCCCCTGAAACTGTTCTTTAAAAAAAAAAAAAGCTGGGCATGTGTGTCCCAAATTCCGACAGGATGAAGAAGTGGACGAGGCAGTCCACTCGGTAAACTAGGTACAGAGCGTCATGGCGGACAGAGCAGGTCCAGAATGGGCCTCTGAAGCTAAAAGGTGTTGCAGAGCTCAGCGTGACCAAACGGAAGAAGAAAAAGGAGAAAGACAAGGCGAAGCTGCTGGAAGTGATGGGGACGAGCAAGAAGAAGGAAGAGAAGCGGCGGGGCCTGGACAAGCGGACCCCGGTCCAGGCGGCCTTCGAGAAGATGCAGGAGAAGCGGCAAATGGAAAGGATCCTGAAGAAAGCATCGAAAACCCACAAGCAGAGAGTAGAGGACTTCAACAGACACCTGGACACTCTGATGGAGTATTACGACATCCCCAAAGTCAGCTGGACGAAGTAGCCTCCTGGCTCTGGGTGTGGGGCGGCACCGAGGGGAAGCAGAAGGAGATGCCAGGGTCATGTTGGGCCCCTTTGTCGTTTTCTAGAAATACTTTTCTGTACACAGACCCTTGCATCTTCTGCTGGGACAGCATTTTTCAAAGCTGTGTGCCCTCATTCTGGAACTTGATTAAAAGCAAGAAAGTCCTTTAAAAAAAAAAGAAAGAAAGAAAGAAAGAAATGGAGGAGAACGGATCATGGTGTGACAATGCCCCACTGGAGAATGCTCTCCCTCTCTCTTGATCTCTGGTGAGTACGTGTACCCTCGGGCAGCCAAAAAGGAAAAGAAACAGAGACTTCTCCAGTGAAGACCCTGGTGCCTGGGCCTTTCCCTGCTAAGTACAAGTCCCTTAGAGAAACCATGTCTGAGGCTGGACACACGTAATAGACTTGACCCATTTGCTTTTGCTCATGTCCTTCCATCCCTGCCTGGGAGAGCTGGGGAGCCCCATCTGGTCAACGGATGATGTTCAAGCCCCAGGGACAAGCTGGGGCAATGGCAGAGGAGGAGGCAGAGGCTCAGGAAGAGCACAGCAATCCCCTCGGAAATCCGTATTGCCAGGGGTGCCATAAGGGATACCGTGGGCTGGAGACTCACAGTGAGTTACGTCCTCCCAGCTCTGGAGGCTGGAAGGCCAAGACCAAGGTGACAGCAGGGTCAGTTTCCTCAGAGGCCTCTCTCTGTGGCTACCAGCTGGCTGCCTCCTGCTGCCCCTTCACACAGGCCCCTCCTCGTGGGCACTCACCCCTGCTGTCTCAATGTGCCCAAATGCCCTCCTTTTTTTTTTTTTTTAAGGTTTTTGTTATAGGGTGCATGTACTCACCAGAGAGAAACAGAGAGGGAAATAGTGAGAGGGAAAGTGAGACATCACTCCCCAGAGGGGATGGCCACGCCGCATCCCTTCTCATTTTTCCTCCTGGGATTTTGGGCACATATGCACACACGCCTGGTGTGATTTTTTTTTTTTTTTTTTTTTGAGAGAGATTTTTCGCTATAGGGTGCGCTTGCCAGAAAGACAGGGAGTCAGAGAATCAGAGAGATGGAAAGCGAGAAATCACCCCCCGGGGGGATGGTCACGTCACAATCCCTTCTCCTCCATTCTCCTCTCGAGATCTTGGGCATGCACGCACACATGCCAGGTGTGAGTTTAAGCCACCGGGTCTGGAGCTCAAACTGCAGTCGACTACATGGGAGTCCAGCCACATAGCCATTAAGCCAACTGCTGGGCCACATGGTGTGATTTTTAAGACACCAGGTCAAAGACTTGAAACGTGGTCATTTGTATGGGAGTCTAGTGTTGTAATCCCTACACCACCTGCTGGCCCCCCCCAGGTGTCCTCTTTTTTATTTTTTAAGAATTATTTTTATTGAGAAAAGCAGTTAGCGTAATGGCTATGTCGCTGGGCTCCCACGGAATCAACCGCGGTTCGAGTCCCGGACCCGGTGGCTTAAACTCACGCTGGGCGCGGTGCCCAAAATCCCGAGAGGAGAGAGGAGAATGGAGGAGAATGGATTGCAGCATGGCCATCCCCTCTGGGGGGTGATTTCTCGCTCTCTGTCTCTCTGTCTGTCTGTCTGGCTAGCGCACGCGCCCTATAGCAAAAACCTCTCCAAAAAAATAAAAAAACAAAGGAATTATTTTTATTTAACTTTATTTAGGTAGTTTAATTTGACCAGAGAGGTACAGAGTGAGAGAGAGAAAGAAGAGAGAGGGAAAGCGAGTAAGCAAGCCACCAGGTCCTGGACTCAAACTGCGGTCGACCATGTGGGAGTCCAGCACCCTTAACTACCATGCCACCTGCCGGCCCCCAAATGCCCTCTTTATAAAGACACAGTCAGGCTGGATTAGGGCCCACCTGGAGGGTCTCATTTTAACAGAATTGCTTTTAGGTGGGTTTGTTTATTTCACTTCTTTCATGAGAGACTGAGCATGCAAGAGAGGGTGAATGTGGGAGACCTAAAGAGAGAGGCACCCTGACGGGCCTGGCCACGCTGGAAGCCCCTTCCCCAGCCCTCTAGCTGGTTGGGATTGGACATGCACACACATGTGCCCCCCTGCTTGTAGGCCGACCGGGGTGCCAGCCCACTGTCGGCATGTGTTTTCAAGCGTTGTAGCTCAGTTTGCCGCTGCCTGCACCATGAGGCTGGCCAGTCACCTCTTTGCTAACGACTCCGGGCAGTCACGTTCTGCCGTCCTGGGGCCTGCGCTTCAACACTAGAACCTGGGGGTACGTGATTGAACTTGTGACAACGTCAAACACCGACCAGTGCTCACCCCTGGGCAGAAGTGTGAAACCTCAGGACACTCCAGGCAGAAGGAACAACATTAATAAGGGCCTAGAAACACACGCAGGACACGGTGTGGGGGAGACCACTTACTCAGTTGTGTGGAAGAGTCACACGGGCTGCTGGTTCTCCTGTGGGGTGGAGGGGAGGCAGGGTGTGACAGGCCTTGATTCCATAGCAGCAGGGAGCCACTCATGGTACCTGAGCCCCAGGAAGACAGAAGCCGCGCTTTAGGTGGTCAGGGAAATTACTGGAGAGCCACGCATCAGAATCTCATCAGAATCTCGGGATTGCTGGGTCCCGCTCTCTGAGTTCCCAATTCAGTGGGTCTGAGAGGAGGATAGAGAGTTTTCATTTTGGACAAGTTCTCAGGGGATGTTCTTGCTGCTGGTCTGTGTCATTTGAAAACCACGGGCAGCTTTGCTAGGGCCAAGAGCCGGGTGGGAGTTGGGCGCCTCTCTGCAGAAGCCTCAGGCGCTAAGCAGTGGAGAGACCCTGAATTCCCTTAATTCCCTTTAACAGACGGGGAACAGAAGCCCTAAATACTTGGGCTGCAGTAGCTTCCAGGACTTGATCCTACAGTTTTGGGTCTGGGTTGCTATGGTATCCGGTACCTCCTTCTAGGATACCCACCAGCCCAAGCCCTTCCCAAACAAGGCTCTGCTGTTTTGGGTTGGACAACGCACCAAACAGCTGGGTCTCCCAGAGGTGGGACTAAGAGCAAGGCTGGGCGGGCAAAGCCTAAGCGGGGGCGGGGCACCGAGGCCCCGCCCTACCTGGCCACGCCCAGTCAGGGCTCCTCCCACGGTGGCCCCGCCCCCTGCAGGCTGCCTGCGGCCTCTGGGTCCCCGCTGTCCTTCCCGCTGTCTGGGTGCCTGGTCGAGATGGCGCTCTGTGCTGTAGTCCTCACCGTGGCTGGGAGTGAAGCGCCCGCCTCACAGGGCTGTCGTGCATCCCGGGAGCACTGCCGACCGAGCCCTGCTATTGCCACCTTTGCTCTCTTGGAGCTGTCAGTCACTAATCACTTCTGCTTTATTGAAGGATTTTTGTGCCCAGCTGTGGGGGCACAGGTGGTAGCGCACTGTGGCATGACATCTGGCTGGCTGGCCGGCTGGTTGCAGGGCTCATGGTGCTGAGAAACCCAGTTAGGGTCCCTGCGTGTATCTCTCTCATTAAAGAACGAAACATAAAAAAATTTTGTTCATTATGATCTATTTCAGACACAATTAAAGAATATACATGATGTCCCCATCACCCGGTTTAAGAAATAAAACATTATAGGGACCAGCAGTTAGCGTAATGGCTATGTCTCTGGACTCTCATGTAGTCGACTGTGGTTTGAGTCCCAGACCTGGTGGCTTAAACTCATGCCAGGTGCCTGTGCGTGTGTGTCCAAGATCCTGAGGAGAATGGAGAAGGGATTGCGGCGTGGCCATCCCCCCGGGGGGTGATTTCTCGCTTTCTGTCTCTCTGTTTCCCTCTGTCCTTCTGGCGAGTGCATGCGCCCTATAGCAAAAACTCTCCAAAAAAAAAAGAAGAAGAAAGAAAGCATTAGAAATGCATTCTCTCCTCCACTTTAGTCAGGTTCTAGAAAACTCTAGAATGTCCTGCCTCCAATCATCCCCTACACTGTTCACAGGCTGTGAGAAATCCAGAAAAACACGCTGGACCCTCCCATAACCTAGCTCTGAATCTCCACCTCCAAGCTAGACTCACAAGAGTCAAGAGTCCCTTGACATCCAGGCCTTTCCCCTCCGACCAGTGACGGCCCTCCTGTGCGACCTCTGCTGCTGGAGACCCAAGTTCCCCCACCATTTCTGGAGCATTCCTTGCTCTGTGCACACGGCAGCCCTGTGCTGGGTCCCCTGGGTCTCATCTCTCCCTCTCACTCACTGCAGGAGGAGCGACAGCTCTGACCCCTCCAGGCTCCCAGAGCACTGCTCCACTGGGATTTAATTGTGTGTGTGCGTGTGTGTGTGTGTGCGTGTGCTCCCCTAGAGTGCAGGCACCTGGCAGCAGGCCCGCGGTGGCCTCCTCTCCATCTGCCTGGCTGAGGGAAGGCGTGTGCTACGCCGCGCAGTTGCAGTGAGTGTGTTCGGGGTAGTGTGTTGAGGAGCAGTGGGGTGATCACCCAGGGCTCAGACTCCCTTTCCAAGGGAGTGAACCGGCCATCAGCTGTAAAGCTGCTGGGGCAGGGTGCAGCAGGCCCCATTAAACAGGGTCCTGGTTTTACAGGAATTCCAGCAAAGCAAGATTTCCTTGAGAGAGCCCAGACCCCCTTCCCATGCCCCTTCCTGCTCCTTCCTCCTCCTCCTCCTCCTCCATCCCTGTCTCTGGGACAGTGGGCTTCTCGTAGTGAGCGGGCCTTCCTCAGGGCCTGTGATATGGACAAGCGGGGATGTGTCATGGACCCAAGAGGCTTGAGATTTGAAGCAAACCAAGTGGGTGCCAAGCCTGGCCCCGACAGCCTGGTATTGGGAGCGAAGGGGCTGTGTGTCCAGGTGGAGACTTCCGGTGTTTCCCTCCTGCTTTTGCAAAGCTCTCCGGAGAACCAGGAGAGCCCAAGTTTAAGTGAGGTGGAAATAAATCGGTAAGCGCACTCAGGCCCTGGGGAGGGAGCCACTGCTGGGGCAGGGGACATTCTGAGTTCTGTATTATGTTCACGTCCGACCTACTCCCTAAAAACGAGAGCACGTGCTGGATGGTAATCCTAAGGACTGGGTCTAGTACTGCCAATACCAATGACCAGCCGGCCCGCCTCGGTCTCTTG